GAAAGAGAGCCTTGTTTCTCTTTCGTCTGCATATGCCACCCTTGGAGCGCTAATTTGTAGGAACTGTTAAATAAAATAATCAAAGCTCTGAATTTTTTGAGATTATAACTGACTCCTCAAGCTGACAAAACAAAGCGTTTTTTAGTGCGTGGCTGCTGGCAGCTTCAAAATGCTAGCAAACACTGTGTGGGCACGCACGTGTGCGGACATCATAATTTTCCTTTAATCAATCCATATCGCATCCTATCATCAAAGCGCTCTTTTCAAGGCTCCGCGCCGTTTGCTTGCTTTCATTTCGCCACAGTCACGGTCGCCATCTGAACGTTAACTTTTCCTTAATTCGACTTTTTTCTCGATTGCTTTTCATGACGATTCGTTGTGCATATGCCACTCAGGTCCGATTCAACCTACTCATCACATACAATGCGCGCTGAGCACACAAACTTATGTATTTTAATTCAATTTGCCAATATGTACAATATTACAGTTTTGCCAAAAACAAATTTGCCAGTATGTACAACAATTACAATATGTACAATTTAATTTGGTCCAATTTCAAATTTAATTCGAATTCAGTTCTTGTAGGATTTTGTTTCTGTGGCAGTAGAGAACTCTCTGTGTGCTTTTTGAGCGCTGTTAAGCAAAAAAAGAAATCCGCGCGAAATAAAGTGTTCAGGTGATGTGCATAGCTCATATGTGTGGAACAGTTTGTGCCGAAGGATCTAGAAGAGCCGCGATCAGTGATATTACATGGCGACATCCATGTAATATCACTGATACGATTCGTAACGTGCTTGCATGAATAAAATTTCAACTTCCTAGCCTCTCAGATTGCTGAGCTAAAACTGGAAAATTCAAGCACATTCATAAACACACATATACTCACGCACACGCACACACACGTACACACACACACCCAATGTCTTGATAATATGCGTTTTGCACCGCTATCATAGCAAAACAAAGGCAACAAATTCGTACTAAAGCACTTAAAACACCACATGTCTGGAAAAACGCTATTTATCGGAATTATGGAACTGCTCAGTTTAACGATATCACATTTGGTCCGTATTTTCATTTCAGTCATCTTCTTCTTTAACTTGGTGTACTATCAGCACGTCTGCATTTGCTCGAAAAGCTACTTCAGAAGAATTGGAAATGTCGTTTGGTGTCGTTCTTTTAATTCTGGGAGCAAGTACTGTGCATGGTTCCAGAAAGTAGTTCTTTTTGCCATTTGTGTGATTTTTATTATTATAGAGATTATGCTAGACAAAATTTGTTAGAAATTGCTTATTTCATCAACGAAGATGCTCAGTAAGGAATCACTTTTTAGCTGCGATGAATTAGGAGCGAAGAGCAGTGGAGAGTAAATTGAAAACTTATGTGTACTGCGGACTGACAGCGGTGTTGAAAAAAACTGTTGCTTGCAGGGTTTTTGATTTTTTGGCTCATCAAGAGCTGGAGAACAAATTTTTTATTCCTTGGCATTATAATCCGGCGCTGTACAGCCTAAGTCTGGATTTGGATCACGCATTAAAATAGTTCACACTATTCTTCCAGGCAGTTTCTAGGATCCGGCTCGGCCGGTTCGGACAAAATGTACCTTCGTGTTTGAGTCCGAGTTGTGAAAATTATGGTACCGGATATCTGTCTAAATAGGATTCTAGAGTGGCGCTTCAGCTCTTTTGTAGTCAATAACCTCTCTTCTCTGTTCCATTATGTCCTCGAGATCCGGCCGGGCCAAGCCGAATCAAGCCGAATTTTAACACTGATCATTCTTTCCATATTTAATCTACTAGGCAGATTGTGAAAGTTGGTAGAAGTCCTATTATATGGTGTATTTCACAACAAAAAGCGAGAAATTAATTCCAGAGGGATGGACGAAGCTTACACAGATTTTACACTTCGGCTGCTGCGGAATGGATGGCCCAGTGGATCCACTGTTCTTTCCCCATATTCCGTTTTTTCGGCGCTTGCAATGGTTTATGAGGGTGCTCGAAGTAAAACCAGGCGGGAAATGACAAAGGTTTTGGGAAAAGGTGAGTTCACTGAGCTTTTCTATAGTATTTTCCTCGAACAGTGCTCTTTTTAAAACAGTATGGGATCACAAATTATCGGAAAACTACATTTTTGTATGGGTTTTTCTGGAATCCGAAGCTTATAGATCAGCTGTACCTGGCTTTTAAGCATATCCAGAAAGAGCATTAA